ACATGTGCACACCAGGGAGATGCAGGGGGGCAGCCATAATGTGGATTTTACGCAGTGCCCTGAGATATCTTGGCAGCCTAAGGATCATACAGACCACACTTTGTGAGGTATACATGAGTGGGAAACTGCTGTTAATGACTTTTCCAAACATAGGTCCCTAAAGTTAGACACCTACTGTAAGAATATAAATAAAAGTGACCTATTTTCACTTTTTGTTTATTTGCAGTGATGCTGAGCAACCAAGCACTCACTGCCAACGTTAATTATTTCTTCTGTATTTAAAGGTTCTGAACTGGTCTTCCTTTGAGGTATGAATTCTAGCTTTCTGTCCTCTCACAGGAGAAACATTTAGCAACATTAAGGCAGTATTTTATTTCCTTGAAACAAAGAACAAGATTAATGGAGTGGTGCCTTCTTCACTGTCATATCGAAACAGTGGCAACAGGAAGGACAGTTTCTCCACCACCGAGTTGCTGTGCAAACTTGTTCGTGTGTACACATTAACTGGGATGCTTATGCGTTGCCAAATGCATAGGCACACCAACCTTCAGCAGAGATGTGGTGTGCACACAGCAGATTTATATATTATTATCTAGTAAAATAAATAATAGCCATTTCTAACATTGGGAAATTAGCTCACACATTTATTTAATTCTAAATGCACAGATTTTATTTTTAAACACACATGTAGATACACACCAAAAGAGTGAAGTGGCTTGATTAGTGTGCCAGCCTTCTAGCACATGGCAAGTGTAATAATTCTAATAGGCCTAACACAAAGAGAAAGAAAGATGGCAATTTGACAATTTGCATTTGCTAAATTAGGTACCTTTTTAGCAGCAGGGCGGGGGACCGCGAGGCTCTGCAGCCATAGGAAGTTTGCATGCTGGTGACAAAGGTGGTTCAGGGTGGAGAAATAGATTTAGCAGAAAAGGCAAACAGAGCAGAAGCATTTATAATTATCTGGTATGAATAAGGGAACCCAGAAGACTTTACTTCTTGGTCATGTGCAGAGAATTGCAAGAAATGACATGGTCATGGGATTATCCACGGCTTTAGGTACAATATAAAAATCAGGCAAAGGCTTCTTGGGTACTACTTGTATATTAAATTATCAAAGAACAGGCAAAAAGATAGTACGATACCGTTGGACTCTTAACCTTTTCATGTTCATGGCAATGATGGGGACCAGACAGAGGCTTTCTATTAGTGGAAACTCCAGAGCAATCAGAATTTGATTTCAGAATAGCACTGGACTGGAGAGCCATAAAAGGAGGGTATCTCCATAGAGTTCCACTAAGATTAAAATGGTAGAGAAAAGGTGTAAGGAGCTTATTGGTTGCACTCATGGAACCGAGCATTGGACTAAATGAACTCTTTTCCAGGGGATAAGTTTTCATCTCTGGGTATAAAAGGGTAATGGAATTCTCAGGACATACAATGCAGGCTAGCAGGTGATTCTGGCTCTGGAAGCATAAAACAGGTGCTAGTGAGTAGTGGAGAATCATGCTAGGAAAAAATCATGAAGAAAAGTATTAAAATCATTTGCACCCCAGTGTCTTCTCGGAGCTGAGATACGCCACTGTGAGGAATGTCCAAGCAGAAACAATGAACATCGACTGCCTGAACCCCAGGGAAGTTATACAGATTCAAATAAAGAGCTCTATGGCTCAAAGGCTGGACTTAGGATGCATCCAAACAAAGAAGCAATACTTTGCCTTTGGGGGAGTCCAAAGAAATGCAGGGTGGTTTCTTGATTGGTTTAGATCTCATCAGCTATAAATGGCAGCACAGTACAATGTCAACAAATGGTATCATTAGGCCTTGTGGTATATGAGCCTGTTGACCTGTGCAGCAGGTGGGGATTCTTTAGGATTGAAGCACATTTTCCATCTTGACATTGGTCTGACCATTTCAAAGGTACCCTTGTGGGTTTGTCAGCTGGGTGCTGGTAGCGCAATGAGGCAGGCATCCACATGACTTCATAGTTACAGGCAGTAATCTCCTTTCATCTTACCATTGGAGGAAGCATCCAAACTAGTTGCTCCCTTCTGTGGCTGTCCAGATCCTTGCCAGAGTTTGGTGGTATTTTATGCTACTTCGTAACACCAGAAAGAGTAAACGTTGTCAGGCTAATGTTGACTGCACAACACCAAAATAAATGTGAGTTTATTTAAATGTGAGAGCATGTCTGAGCTCCTTTGTAACATCCCCTGCCCTGACTTTTAAGCTTGGGAGACACCATAGAAGCCATACAAAGCTCTTAAAACATCTGGAATATAGTGTTGGGATTGTAGATGGACAGGTTTGAGAAGAGGCAGGTTTTCCTCAATCGGTGTCCTCCAAAGTGTTAGACTACAACTCCCATCCTGCTCTAACCAGTATGGCACTTGCTACTGCTGCATGGGAAAAATGGGAGTTATAGAGTAACACTCTTGTAAGGCACCAGCTAGATTAGGGAACGCTGCCTTAGGGGAAGAGACTTCTGACTGAAGAATCTTTAGGATTCAGCCTTAATGGAAGCAGACACAGAAATGCACAAAATGTGTATGCTTGCTAGCATAAGTACATTGTCCTCATGGATCAGAGAGTTTATTAGACAGCTGACACTCTCAGAAAGATGAGAGCAGATTATACTGACATCTTCAGTGAACTGAACTATCAAGATACAATTTGAAACTATTCACACTCATACCTTGGAAGAAAGCCTTGGTTTTATGGTGTTCAAATATATGCAAGATTTCATGATGGGGAAATCTCAAAAGCCACTATATTTTTTGTAATCTTTTGTTTGGCCTAATAAAGGCATTATGCTAATATGGATTATAGATTTTTTTCTTATGGTCAATAAGGCTATCTTGCTTGTTGTCAAGATACTTATCTCTTTTAAAACATAAGTATTTTGGATGGTCCCACTCAAGACAACTGTTTCTTCTACTAGGAGCAGTGGGGGTGACTTATTCGCCAAGAGACCCATGTGTTACATAGAGTTGTATGCGTAGCTCATTAATAACTGCAGCTTGTTTGCTTTTTGTACGTTCAGAACAAGATGAAATTAATAGAAAAATTCACCTCTTGAAACAGGCAAGGAACTGCATTGCACTGATAGCCACTTTCTCAAATTATTTACAGGGCCCAGTTTGCTTGCAGCCCTCATTTAAGTTATCCCAACTTTGGTCTGAAATTTGATAAGGCAAAATGATATGAAGCCTTGAGCACATGAAACATATGGTACATAGGGAACATATGTTCTTTATATTAGAACATGAAGTCACAGAGATCTTCAATCCAATTTTCACTGAATTTTTAAAAAACAAAGGTGCCAGCTTCTGTTTTCTTGGAAGGTACATGTTCGATAGAAGCTGGAAATGTATTTTACCCTTGGAAAATACTCCAGGTCTAGCTTACCTGAGCATTCTCTTTTGTTACTGAAGATAATGTTATTTGTGTTACAAATAATAAGTGTAACTGCAGTGCTATTAAATCTTCAGCAGAAATGAGTATTAACATGTAATTGTTGTAATTAGTTGGTATACGTTTTTATTTTGTATTCAGAAATATTTTATCTGTTGCGTTCTCAGTTTCTTGTTGATGACTTTGGATATCTCCCTATTGTCTGTCTATTTCTTTCTTCCCACCACTGCTCAGTGGCATGGTTTTGAGCATTGAAAAATACCTAGTAAAATAAACTGCTTGGTTTTGCTGCTCTTTAAAAACGTTTTACTCTTTCCGAATTGAAGCTTTAAACATCTTTTTGGGAATCTACAAGAATACTGCACTTATTGCTAGTTTCCATCATCAGCTGTCATTTTAAACACAGACCTTGGTTAATAATAAAATGGTTGGAGTCTCCTGAGTCACAATCAAGAAAGTTAATGGCCTGTACACAGAATTTGGAGACCTACATATAAAAATGTTTTAGCTTGAGAGATCTGGATATACAGAGTTTATATTGGTGGGAATGATAGTTTAAATAGTAACAGCATTAAATTACATTATGTAAGTAGTCTTATTCTGCACAAACAGAAATTTAGGGCACAATCCTATGCATGCTTAGAAAGTCCCACAACTTGCACACTGGGGAATACAGAGACTTGTAGGCATTCTGTTGAATTACCCCTTTAGTTTATTGCCAATCTAAGCACCTGATTTCTCAGGTAGAATCATGAGGTTGCATTCCTATGCTCACCTACATGCAAGTAAGCATGTATTTCTGCTTTACTGATCGTCATTCATCTTTTTTCCATCATAAGCTCATTGATGGAACTGGATGTTTGTTAGGGGATGCAAATATGCATTAGTGCTAATCTGCACTTATGCAAATCCCTCCAGAAAGGTTAAAAATGGTCTTCAAGTTCCCAGAGGAAGCTGATCTGCTCTAGAATATGCCTTTGGGATTCATAAACCCACTGCAGATTTTTCTGGTATCCCTACTTGGAACTAAATCACACTAATGTGCAAACTTGTGCTGTTAGTACTTTTACTAGAAAGGTTTAACTTTTTTTTTCTGATGACACTATAGTGTGTGTGTGTGTAAGAGAGAAAGAAAAATATAACAGCATGGTAGAATAGGAAGTTTCTTCAGTTAACACATATATGTAATCATAAGATCATAGTTTTTATAAACTATGTTCGCATTTTAGTTCCTAGCTGAAAGAAAAGAATTATGATGTCTACACTTCTAAGAAATGGCTCCCTTATTCTTCATAATGTCATAATTTTAATGCCAATTGAAATGAGCACAACAGCAATTCATATAACTTGCTATACTTAGAACATTACTGTTTTGAGGACACACGTTGTAATTGGTATCAAATTGTTTATGTTGTTTGCATTGTTTGCAACATCAACAAAACTAGATACTTCCTTGAGCTCTGTGGTGAATGGAGATTTCAGAGCAGCTGTGCATGCTGGATTATTCTGATCATGGCTTGGGGTGGGGGCAGGATAAACTTCTGGATATCTGACAGTGTTCTGGGTTATGGCAGGATGAGCTGGATGAACTCCGGGCGGAAATGGAAGAAATGCGTGACAGCTACCTTGAAGAAGATGTTTACCAACTGCAGGAGCTTCGGCGAGAGCTAGACCGTGCAAACAAGAATTGCCGTATTTTGCAATATCGTCTCAGGAAAGCAGAACAGAAAAGCCTGAAAGTTGCACAGACGGGCCAAGTGGATGGGGAACTCATTAGAAGCTTAGAACAAGATCTAAAGGTAGGCGATGCATTTCTCTGCGATGGCACCTAAAGCAGCAGTGGAGTCCTGTGCACACTTCCTAAATCCCATCTTCTGCAGCCCATGGTCTTCTGTCTATGTGGCATCCGTATTGTTCCCAACAGAGTTTTAGATAAGCAATTTGTAAAAGCCTGTTAAACTTGCAGGGATGTATGGCTGTTTGAGGGGCCAGTGTTTCTGTGGCAGCAGAGTCTCTAAGAGAATGGGAACTCTTGCTGGTCACAGAAGCCAACAATACTGCTTCAAAAAGGAGGAGTACAACATGTCCGAAAGAAAGGACTGCCTTGTCTCTCAAGGACACAACAGCAGGTGCTCTGAGATAGAGGTAACTCCAGAGCATGGGTAAAGCAGTCCCATTTGCTATGACAAGGCCATTTGTATACAGTTTCAGACACCTCAGGATTTACTTGCCTGTGGAAAGCTAACATGTCATAATGAGCTGTATCCCACAAGCCCTTCTCACCTGGGATGCGAGTCTTCCAGCAGCAGGGAGCAATTGCCATGAAAGGGCATGCAGGTATGCCAACACTCACCTGCATTCTGAAGTGGTACGATCCCAGGAGGACTGTGTTATCATGTAGCTCTAGGACAGTGGTGCCAAACCTGTGCCACGCGTGCTGCAGCGGGCACACAGAGCCCTCTCTGTCCGCACGCGAGCCAAGTTGCCCCAGCATCGCCCCAGCAGCCGAGCATCAGAAAACGGCGCACACAGGGGCCATGCGCATGCTCGGAAAGGAGTAGCGGCGCCAGGCGATGACATCACAAGCCACGACTCATTGGCCGTGACTCGTCCGAGCTTTTGCGTAGCTGGTCAGTGCGTTGCCAAAGATATATATATATATATAATTTGCCTGGACTGGCTGTGAGTTTTAATATGTTCATTTTTATTAACACAAGATTTTAGCTTTGAGTTTTCTTATGTAGGAGTTGTTATTTCTAAACAAAAACCTCAGTATTCAGGTTTTATTGCAGTGTTGGCACTTTGCAATAAATCAGTAAGTTTTGGGTTGCAGTTTGGGGACTCGGTCTCTAAAAGGTTCACCTTCACTGCTCTAGGATATAAAACTGGCCCATGTTTCCCACAGCCCTGACTTCCTAAACCGAAAATTCACGGATTGTTCCACATTGTGCTGTGTATGCGTGGCATATTGGATAAAGAGCATGTGTGTGAAACAAGAGTCTCACAAAACTTCTCAGAATGTTTTGCTGTGCTCAGGCAGTCCACTGTTCTGCTGTTATACATTAAAAGTTTAAAAGCTGGGAAGTTTAACAGTTTAATAAAACTGCTTGATATGCTAAATCTGATTAATGGAAATATGTGGTATGCAAAGCCACAAGACCCCAAATTTATACATTTATGCTATTTGAAGGACATCACCATTGATTTTGAAATGACTATAGATTTGCTCACAGTTGCTGAGATATTGCACTCAACAAGAAGACAATTGCCATGACTTTAGCTTCAGAATGCCACATCTGAGTTTGAAAGATAGACATTTTATTGAAATTGACTTATAGGAGATCATGCACTGCGTTATAGAAGTTAACTGCAGTGGATTTCAAGATAATTTTTGTCCCTATTCCCTACCCTACTGTTGTTAGAATAATTCATGCCTGTGTTCCTTAATTCATATGTGTTCCTTAGATTATGGCTTAAAGAACCCTGTGAGCTGGATTCTACTTTAGGCTGCCCAGCCAGTGTAAATGGGTGGGGGGAGGCAGTCCTTGTCTCCTCCTTTGCAGCTGCCATCGAAGCCTGTTTTTATATTTTCTGTTCTTGTTATGAAACGGTTTTAAAGCAAAAACAATTAGGTGTGTTTGTCTACTCTGCTAGGTAGCCAAAGATGTATCTGTCAGACTTCACAATGAACTGGAGAATGTGGAAGAGAAACGTGTTAAAGCAGAGGATGAAAATGAAGCCCTCCGTCAACAAATAATCGAGGTGGAAATATCCAAGCAGGCTTTGCAAAATGAGCTAGATAGATTGAAAGAGGTAAGTAGTAGCATTAAACAGACAATTAATGAGAGGCTTACTTGTTAAAGAAAAGTGCTATACATTTAAAAGAAATCTCACTAATATTACCATTCCACCCACTGAAATTACTGATGAATTAAAATGATTAAGCAGAATTGGGGGCTAAAGGGGACATTATATTGAATCTCTGTGTGCAGCAATTTTTGTTTGTGTCAGTTTTACTCTAGAGTAGGTGTAGGAGGCCTGATAAAAAAATTTGACCCTAGTGTGCAGGACAGGGAGACATATAAGATCCAGGTTAGGATCCCTGAATCTCTTTTACAGTTGAAATGAGGGAGGGAGGTGGCTGCTAGACACCGATTCAAAGTCATGTCCGGTTTGTTTACTGGAAACAAGACAAGTTCAGATCATAAGCCAACATTCAGTGTCATGCTGGCAGAAAGGAATTCACAGAAGCTGACTCCCTTATTCCTTCCCTCTGTTTTGCCACCTTTCCCTCAAATGCCATACAGAAGATCAGAGGTGAATATGGTATGGGAAAACACAAACCAAAGGCAGACCCAACTGGTTTTGACCAACCATAGTAAGAATTAGCCAATTTAGAGTTTAGATGACATATCAAACACTGCTTAATTTAAAATGGAAGCAGAAATGTTCAAATGCCTCCTCACAGCTGTGTCATAGTGGGAAGAATGAATTACACTTGAATTTGTTTCCCGAAGTGTTTTTTTTCCTTCTGTCAGTTTCTGAGTTATGGATCATCTTGAGCATCAGGGGCTTGCATGTCTGTTGTTGCTTGTGAAATGCTGTTAGCAGTTTGTGGCATGGCTGTCCCTATTAGATCACAATATGTTCCTCTGATGTGTGTTTTTGTGATGTTAGGAAAGTGTTTTATCTAATATTTCCATGGTGGGACTAAGTCTGGAGGATTTAAGACAAGGTTGTTAATTGAGCCACGTGGGACTAAGCTTCTGTTTAATTTCTTACTGAAATCTGTGGAGATGCTGCCAAGCATGAGAAACACTAGCTTATGTACAATTAATAGTTCATAGTTAAAAATAAAAGGGTTTCTACTACACATGTGGTTATGCAAGCCTTGCTTTCTTTTTTTGATACCTAAACTAAAATTAAAAATGGTAGTACAGAAGAGAATGAGAAGTTGATGAAAAAAGTTGGAAACTAATCATAATCCCTCATCACTGCATACTCTGCGATAGTACAGCAGCCACTCTGTTCTTGTGCCAGCACAGCTCATGTTGGCAAACTACTGCTCTAGATCATTTTAAAACCAGATTGACATGGGACATTGAAACATAATGAGGTAAGGCACTTATCCTCTGAGCTATATTCAGATTTAGAAAGCAGGTGTAATTTTGTATTTTAATCTTTCAAACAATACTTGTAGCATACCCCTTGTTTCTATTTGACCAAAATGCCCTGGCTCACCATTATGCACACAAAAATAATGCACACCATTATGTAAGCCACCTTGATGGAGTGGGACCTACTCCTGGGTAGACCTGTACAGAATTAATTTGATGATGTCTGTACAGGCTTAGGTGACAAGAAAATCTGACTCTTGCCTGAACTTGAATCAGTTCAGTTGGAAGTGAAGCTTTTGACATTGCAGCTGTTGGTGTGTTCTGTTGTGCTGTTGCGTTGTGATGCCAAGTAGCAAATCAAAGCAAACAAGTACACCTTGGAAATGTCTTGTCCAAAATCCAAATAATTTCTAACCTGTCATTTTATAAGTTTGTTTATTCTTTAAACTATTTTTCGGAGGTTGCATACATTATTAGGATAAAGCTAAAAAAAAAAACAAATAAATAAGCAATAGAGACAGAGAGTAGTTAAAAATAATGCAAAGACCGTAAAGATAGTGATTTAAGCCTAATTGATTTCCATTAGGTCTATTCTCGATATGATTAGGCCTGTACCCAACCTAGTAAAGTAAACAAAAACAGCAGACAGCAAACAGTCAACTAGATTGTAACAATTGCACCTGCAATACCTACCCACTGATCTAAGGTAAAATCAGGTGAACACAAGAAATTATACAGTGCCTAAGAAATAATAAAGTAGGTGCCAGGTAGCCCTACCTTGGGAGGCAGTTCCAAAACTGAGGAAAGCAAGGTAACTACCTCCTTTTTGATGGGGATCCGATGGTATCTTTGAATGCTGGTGGCACCTGCTCCCTGCCTTCCCAGCCCCAAAATGGTGCCCCAGGGTCACAGTCACATGAGGGCAGAGGGAGGATGCTCTGACTTCAGAGGGCAGCAGACGTTTCCACGCTCTGGACCTTTGAGGTCTCCTCTGCCTGTCTAGATGGCATCTGGCAGCTACAGGATCCTGCCCTTAGCAGCCAATTTGTGATTGCATGCTAGCATGGACTAAAGGATTCCATACAAAATTTATCCTTGATTGTAAGGGAGATGATTGTGTGCCATCACTCAGCATTAGCCAAGCTATTTTTCTCAGGGTTTAGAGTGGATGGGCTTTTTGCCCTTGTTTTACAGCCAGTTTCTGACCTTAGGGCACAGATAATCTGAAAATCAGATAAAGTGTTTCCGGAGGGAACTCCCTGTAACCAAATGATGTTATTTCCCTTTTGGATTATTTCAGACATGCAAAGCTGCAAAATCATCATGTTGGGCGTATTGGGATGAGAGTAAATATTTGTAGCCTTAGAAGGATCAGAAGATTCATTTCAAAAGTTGCTTGGTTTGTTTTTTTTAAGTTCCTTCAAGTTTTTCTCTATGTGCTATACACAGAGATGCTTTTAACAGACTTTCTTGGTTTTTTTGTTCCCAGAAGAGTTATTTTGGAAGAGTTGAGAGAGATTAAAAGGTGCAAGCCTGTGCATATTTAGACAGAAAAGCTTCCACCGTGCACCAGCCAGCCCAGTTGACTGGGCCATGCTGGAAGCTGTGGGGCTTTTTTCTGTCTAAATAAGCATAGGATTGTGCACAAAGATACTTATCTGCCATGCCCTGTAATAGCAAGATTTTGACATTTTGGAATCTATAATAATACGTATGATGCTTCTTCTTTAAAGTGATGACATATCTCATCACTGCTACATGGCCAAAACAGACTTGTGGAGAGCTCAACAACCAAATTGTGTCCACAGGAGGGGTGGCCACTCTCCCACCCTTCTGGAAAGTGGGATAAGCTGTTCTGAGTCTCCACTTCCAGAAGTCTCTTAAAAAGGAACTTCTTGTTAGCTGATGTAGGTTAACAAACTTCGCATCAGGTGGAACGATGTAATGTGCAGTAGAATTAGCTGACTATGGAGCATGGGAAAGAAGAACTGTATTTCAAGAATGCGTAACACTCTCATTGAAAGAAAGTCTAAGGTCTTCTTTGTTTTCAGCCTTACTTGTGCTCCAGCCTCTCTGCTGTTGATACGTGTTTCTCCCTGGCTATTTAGCAGTGAGGTGAAGCCTGTTATTCTGTTGTTTAGTGACAGCTGCCTGCATTATTTTATAGGTAACAATCCTCTGGACCTTGGGTTAAGCATTCTGCACAACATTGCTGCTGTATTTTGGTAGAATACCTTTATAAGAGGAGAAGCCTGAAATCAACTTCTTATCCAATTGGTATAACTGTTTGAGGCTATAAAGTTCACACTTTTTTGCCCAATTTGGGCCCCAGAGCACTCCAAATGATGGAGAAAGAGCATCAATGTATTGAATGACTGGTGGAACTATCATGGAAAAGGTATACTGGATAGGATAGAATGTGTGCACAGGTTATTTTTAAAAATAAAATTGCTCCTAGATGTCCAAGGCCTCATTTTTCAGCCGTGTATTATACAGTCAGACAATACATTATCAAAGTGTCATTCCCAGGAGAAAATATCACTTCAGTTAGCATTTTCCAATTGTTCTCCAAAGTCTTACAGTCTCCCAGTTCAGGTATTTCACTTCTTGCTATTATGCCAATCAGATGTTCCTATTACAAGTGGCTGGAGAATATCTCCCAGGACTTCCTTGTTCACTGGAGCAATCCATGAGAAACACAAGGTTTTGACTAGCTCTGTCAAACAAATTACTTATTAAATAGGGTTTTTTTTTCTCTCTACATTGTGCCAGAATGGCAAGGGGGGTTGTGCTTCTGCATTGTATCATTATATGTTACAATGGTTCCCTCAATGAAAAAAACGGTTGAAAATCATTAAGTTCGGGTTGAAAATCATTAAGTTCGAGGATGTTTCCAGTTGGTTCATAATGGCTAGCAAATAATACCGACCAAGACACTCCACATATGCTCAAGTGAGGCTGCAAGCAACTGCTGGAATTAAGATCGATTCGTATGTGTGAATCCCACCTTTCCTCAAGGTGGCATACCTGATCTGTTCCTCTCCATTTTATGCACAAAAGCCCTTCGAGGTAGGTTAGGCTGAGCATCAGTGACTGAACCAAAATTACCCAGTAAGATTCATGAGTGGAAACAAGAATGTGGTTCTCCTGAGATCCAGTTCAGGATCTAGTGACATTCTAGTCACTACACCACCCTGACTTTCTCTGTGTATCTAGAGGGAACAAGATCAGATTCAATGAAAGCTGGTTTGGAAGGAGACACAGTGCTGCCATTAGGAGTCTCTCATTCCCACCAAGTGATTGCTCAGTCAAGAACACAAGGATGAGTAGTGGCTGGAGTAGAGCAGGTAAGAACTGTAGGTTTTGTCTCGGGGACTGTGGGCTTAAATTCAGAACCGTGGAGAGCAATTCTCTGGTTAGGAAAACCAATACTCGGACAATGGTTTTGAGCAAGTGGAAGGATTTTATATCCATAACAGAGGAGACCCTCTGGAGCTCCACTCCCTCAAGGATTGCACTGGATTTTTTTAAAAGGGCCCATGCCCTTTCCCAGTGTTGCTCTCTTCTAGGTCTGTGGACCGACCACCACATGGTTGAGAATGCTCCCTAGGTCCTCCTTGCTCAGTAGAGGTGGCCCTCTCTTTGGAATCAAAAGGAGGACTGAGAGGGGCAGGGTGGAGGTCTAGGAACAGCTTC